ACACAATTTTTTACACAATGTTTTACACCCCCTTCACATGGAGGGGGGCCCACACATAATAAAATAATCGTGGGCCCCCCTCCATGTGAGAGGGGTGTAAAATATTGTGTAAAAAATTGTGTGTACACATAGCACCACTCTTTCAACATAGACACCTGCTTTTTGCACTACCATTGTCAAATCAATTGTGCTAGACAAATAGACTCAAAGATAGGTACAAAAACAAAAAAAAAAAACACGTGTCAATAGATGATTTGACAGTTTGAAAAAAATAAAAATACAATACCCAATTATTATCTATCACATCACCCAGTCTTAGAGTCTATCCCAAGAGCATTATTCTAGTCAAATACACGTAAGTGAAAAACACTACTCGCTCCATGTGTTCGTATTTGGATATGATAATCATCAATTATTGCAGGAAGATTATCCTCTAAGGACCCATATCAATTGCCATCGAAGAGCATCTACAAGTGTGTACGATATTGTAATAAGTAATAGAATCTATCTATGAGTCGGGACGATCGTTTGATTCCTAATTTATTATTTCTAACTTCTAATTGTTGAAAAAAAAAAAGTTTTGATTAATTATCTACTTATACTAATATTATCTAAATGCACATAATTAATAAAATTCGGGTTTGAAAGTGTGAATGTGACTTACAATTTTGTTTATTGATCACATTCAATTCGCACATCAAGATTCTTTACTTATTGTGGTGTTCGATCAAATCATTCTTAATAAATCAAATTACCTTAATTAAATGTATTAAATTTCTATGAACTCGTCTAACAATCGCAATAACCATAATTCTAAATTATCGAATTTTATTATGTGGTCTAAATCTATAATTATCAACTGGTTCATTACAAATTCACATATAGTTGAATTAGTGGCCAATTAGTTCAAAACATTATACTATATAAATAAAATCAACACATGTAAATCTGACAATTAGAATCTTAAAAATTAAATTAAAAGATCACACAAATTATATTGTTGCCTTAACTATGAATTTAACTTCTCGTACTAATGAAAGAAAAACAACAAAAAAGTAGAGTTCAGTATCGTGTTTTGAAATCTCCACGAAGGAAAAATTTGGATCTTACGCAAAAAATCTTCTTCAATCCTAAAATCTCGCGAACCCTAATTTTTTGCTCTTTGCTCTTGATATTCTATTTGTTTTTCCCTCCTAAATTGTGTGTCTCGTTAAAGAAAATAACTCATATAAGAGCCGAAATGCTGTCTAAAAAACAAGTCTAAATATGTTTGTAAAAAATTGTGTGTATACATAGCACCACTCTTGCAACATAGACACCAGCTTTTTGCACTACCATTGTCAAATCAATTGTGCTAGACAAATAGACTCAAAGATAGGTACAAAAAAAAAAAAACACGTGTCAATAGATGATTTGATAGTTTGAAAAAAATAAAAATACAATACCAAATTATTATCTATCACATCACCCAGTCTTTGAGTCTATCCCAAGAGCATTATTCTAGTCAAATACACGTAAGTGAAAAATACTACTCGCTTCATGTGTTCGCATTTGGATATGATAATCATCAATTATTGCAGGAAGATTATCCTCTAAGGACCCAGATCAAGTGCCATCGAAGAGCATCTACAAGTGTGTACGATATTGTAATAAGTAATATAATCTATATATGAGTCGGGACGATCGTTTGAATCCTAATTTATTATTTCTAACTTCTAATTGTTGAAAAAAAAAAATAGTTTTGATTAATTATCTACTTATACTAATATTATCTAAATGCACATAATTAATAAAATTCGGGTTTGAAAGTATGAATGTGACTTACAATTTTGTTTATTGATCACATTCAATTCACACATCAAGATTCTTTACTTATTGTAGTGTTCGATCAAATCATTGTTAATAAATCAAATTACCTTATTAAATTTCTAAGTACTAGTCTAACGATCGCAATAACCATAATTCTAAATTATCGAATTTTATTATGTGGTCTAAATCTATAATTATCAACCGGTTCATTACAAATTTACATATCGTTGAATTAGTGGCCAATTAGTTCAAAAAATTATACTCTATAAATAAAATCAACACATGTAAATCTGACAATTAGAATCTTAAAAATTAAATTAAAAGATCACACATAAATTATATTGTTGCCTTAACTATGAATTTAACTTCTCGTACTAATGAAAGAAAAACAACAAAAAAGTAGAGTTTAGTATCGTGTTTTGAAATCTCCACGAAGGAAAAATTTGGATCTTACGCAAAAACGCGAACCCTAATTTTTTGCTCTTTGCTCTTGATATTCTATTTGTTTTTCCCTCCTAAATTGTGTGTCTCATTAAAGAAAATAACTCATATAAGAGCCGAAATGCTATCTAAAAAACAAGTCTAAATATGTTTCTATGGTATTTTCTCTGAATTTGCCCATGCTATCACAGTTCACAGCTCATTTGGCCTTTTGAGATTGCAAGGGTCAATCATCTTTCAACCTGTGCATTTTGGTCCCGGCATTGTTTTCTTTGTGAAGCCAAAATCATATTTTAATTGCAGACAGGTCCTTCAACTTTCAATCTTATACAACTTCAATCAAATTTCATCCAAACTTGTACAATCCGAGTTTTCTCCGAAATTAATCATAAAAGAACCAATATTAAATATCTAATCAATAAAAGCACTCCCAAATGTCCACTTTTAGTGGCTCGAATAAATGTAAAAATACATTTATCATAGCTTTTCAATTTTTTTTTAATATTTATATTTTAGGATTTTTTTTTCCTCAATTTGCTACTCAAATGGATTGACTAATCGAAAAAATAAATGGAAATCATGTGGATTTGGCTAGTCAACTCCACAGTTACATCAATAACACCATCAGGGTCAGGCATGCAGGATCAATCGTAACGAAATTCTTCGATAAAGCTATCAAAAGAAAGAAAAAAAAAACTTACTTTTCTTTTTTGAATTTGAGATTGAGGAACTTGATTTTCACCATAACGTATACAAAAATGAGAAAATTTCCAGAAAGGGCAGAATATTTTGTATTTGTATAACACTTTTAACGCAATAAGGTAATACAAAAATGAAATTTATTTTCTTTTTTATGTAAGAAGTCGACTTTGTTCTTGAAGTTGCTACAAGAAAATGATTTTAGAAAACAGTTCGAGAAAATCTAGCAGTTTCAATCACTTCATTTGTTTTTCATGAGAATGCATGGAAGGGCATGTGAATGATAATTATTGAGTTTCTCGAAAATGAAAATTGCAATCCCAAGAGAGCATCGATTGTGGCTCTGGAGATTGATTCTTGATCTCTTGAATCTCTCAGGGAGAGAAGTGTAAACCCTAAGGCATCTGTGGCTACAATCTGCAGCTAACTTGGAGCTTGGAGTCTCAGCAAACGAACACTGGGTATTCGCACAGTGAAGATCTGATAATCCTCCTGCCTCTGCGTGAATTATAGGAACTTGTTCAGTTGAATAAAACCATTGTGTCATTTCGTGAACGATCTGTGGAATTATATGCTAGCTGTGGTGTTTAAATGATATGTGTGATTATCAGAGTTTGAAATCTGTTCTTGGTGAAACAAATAAGGTCTTACTGTGTTTCTTGAAGTTGTTCCTCCTTATTTTTTATGTGATTAGACTCTCACCGCTTCACCTCATTTGCTCACTGAAACTCTCAACATGAGATCAAGAATTTCACGGAATCCTTGGTTCCCGAGCAGTGTATAACTTGCTGTATTTTGCAATATATATTATATACTTTTCTATGCTTTCGTACCATCCTGTTACGTATAGGTGCAAAAATAGGGAACTAGGTAAGGAGTTGCACAATAGGGTCGAGGAAGAAGGGAACAAGGGTGTAGCGGGAATTCGTAAAAAGATTGTCCTAAAAATTTTGAAAAATGATGCACTTCTTCATGTTGTCCCTCGAACTTTGTCCTTATGAGGCAATTTCCTCAATTTGGATCTTATACGAGCAAACGATAATCCCATGGAGAATGTCGTAACCATAATAAATTCAGACCTCAACAACCGAATTTTAGCACCTTCCAGTGTAAAGATATGTTCAGTAAAAAATTATGATACTTGTATCTAATCTAGTACACTGACATTTATGTATATTGTTTCATCCCATATTTTGCTCAAACATTTATGTATATTGTTGCATATGATACTTGTGTCAAACAATAGACAGCTGCTTTGATCTCTTTCACACATCAATAAACTCAAAGGGAAGTCACAGAATACAAGCAAAGTAACAATATAAGTTACAAGAAAACATAAATTATCAACTGCGATAGTTCTTACATGCACAAAATCAGTACTAAGACAATATGGCGAAGGAACTAGGATTGTTTCCTTAAAATGTATTTAGAACAGAAAATCAGAGAACAGTCTGATACATCCTATATACACTACAGTCTACAGGCTATACTGTGAACTAGATTTCCGCATCTGTTGTGAAGTAGGATCTCTACATTCACTGCCTGCACTGGGATTATCGGCAGACAAACCTTAAACCATAAACGAGGAAATTTCCATTAGTTCTGAACAACGTCAAAAATTAAAGCAACTAGGAAAAAGTACCCTTCAATTAAATTAGTTTTTCCAGAGATGAAAAGAAAAGAAATGAAAAGGCTGAATCATGTTGTATTTTGGATGAGAACTCGAAATGTTAACACTGCCACTCACCCTCATCGACAGTCACATTGCCAATGCGATAGAGACACTCAATGCACAGTTCAAGTTAAAGATCTGAAGACCAAATATCATTTAATAAATTGCCAAATCAGAGATGTTTTGCCTATAACATGTTACAAATACAATACCATCACCACGGGTAACACAAAGAGGAGTGACGAATCTATATGAACACGTCCAAAAAAGTTCATATAATACAAAAGCTCTTTGGGGCCAAATTTATTAGTGCAGGTGTCCAGATAAATTAGGTCTATTTTTGATAAGTTTTACACTCTTAACCAAGCAACATGCAGCTCTATGGTATATGGATCAACAGTAAAACTTTGACGTCTTCTGCCTATCAATTTGATTTAAAACTTCTCTAGCTTTGTGGCAATGAAAACAAAACAATTTTCGGAACAAAGTCCTGTATATTAGGACTTTCTTAAGCCAACGGGAAAATTCATTATTTATCATGACGGGAAGATAAAATGTAAACTAACCGTAGTCGGTGAGACATTTTCAAACAAATAAATGTTTTCAAAACTAATAAATGGGTAATAAATAGGGGACAAGATAAACCTTAAAGGTGAAACATATCCAATTCTAAGCATGGCATGAATGATAAATAGATAACTAGGATGCCACTTCAAGTTTCATGTCCCTGAGAAATGATGAACAAACAGTACAAACTGGTGACAGAAGGCACAGGACTCTCTACAGCTTCCCCCCTCCAACTAAAGTGAAGTAGAACATCAAGGCTACATCTGTCACTGGACAATAGAAACAATTTAAGCATTCTTGAAAATAACAAAGATACCTCACTTTTCAGATGGTGTCTCGACATCTGGAGAGTCCCCTTCCCCACCAAAATGAAAATCTCCAATCTGGTCTGGAGGAATCCAGGAGATGGGATTGGCATCAACTATAATAAAAATTATTCCTATCAAGCTTAACTATCATCTTACTATGTAAGAAATAAAATGCAGCAAAGAACGAGTGAGGAAATAGATCAACATGATAAATCATATAAAATCAAATACGTATCTACTTAGAAACTTAGAAAATGTGCATCAAATGTCAAACCTGGCATCTCATCATCACCCATCTCATGTGAAGCAGTAGTACAAGCACGACGTTTTCTTACATAATTTTCCTCCATTGGTGCAGGAATTTGGAATGAGAACTGTGCCGTTGTTACACCCGGGAATTCTGGATGCTCAGACAGATAACTGAAAAAAGAAAACACCAGGAAATACTCAAAACAAATAAAGCAAATCAAAGATTCTGAAATCGGAAATACAGATCCTCCAATAATTATTCATTCATCTTAAATTGAGGCATTGAAAACCTAAGCAGCAGTTAATGACCATCAAGAGATGCAGTGTACCTCTGAACTTGCACCATAGATCGGAATCGCTTGCCTGATGGAGCAACATAATACCTGTTAAGAAAATGAAACCACCCAACTGAACTTAGAATGACCTTTCCCAGAGCTCAAATCCTTAAAAGTAATTTTAAATGAACTAGCAAATATACAGAATCACAGACATACACATCAGCAAATCTTGTGCCTCCTTCCGCTCTGATTCGTAAAATCCGTTGCCAGCCAGGAGGAGGTTGAGGAATACAAGGCTTGTCTATTGCCCATCGCCAGCTGCCATCTTTCACAAGATCCGGTTCCTCATCACATGTTATTTCAGGCCGCCATTCACGAGCCGTTTCACAAAGGAAAGGCTGTTCCAATATTTTTTCTCGTATCTTCTCATACCTCTCCTTTGTAGGGATGAACCTCCATTTTGAGCAGTTGTCACATTGAACAGTATAAGCTGTAACAGAATCCTGAGCCCTTCTAGATCTTTTCCGTGAAGGGGTGGGACAGGGAACAAGTTCAGCTGCCGTAGTAACATTGGAGACGCTTCCTTCCATTCTTTCAAGAATTGCCAATATGAGAAGGAATGAAATCATTAGCAAGAACAGAACATCGTAATAATACAAAGAGGAATGATAGCAACAAATGTCGTCAAAATTTATATTTTGAAACAGATGATAACTGTAAAGTTTTATTCTAGAGTATGCGCATCTATAGCTCTATTTTCTCTTCTTTTCTTAAGTGAGTTCTTGGTGAAAAAAATAATTAACACATAATCTCATAAATAAGAGTCGATTCGGAATTAGTACACGTTTCCATGTTCATATCAATGTCGCAGACAGGCAGATATGTTAAAACAAATACGACAAAATAGGAGCACGGAAAACAGCGGTTCTCAAAAAAAAAAAAAACATAAGACACAAGACGGCTAGGTCATGTCAATTAATATAAGAACTAAATATAAGGCCTGTAGCAACAACTAATAATAGAAATCTAGAAAATGCATATTAAATCTTCTTCTATGAGAAGAAACAAATATTTAAATATTATAATGTACATATTCTAAACGGCATCGTTAAGGCATAGTTCAACATAAAGGGCAAACTAATAAGTTAAATCAACGAAAAGTATCATAACTTCAGCCATCTTTTCTTCTACTTTGCAATGCTATATTGCACACAATACGTTTGATCTTTGATCTTTGTTTTACACGTGTATTCAACGTATTGGAGGCCTAAGCCATGCTTATTTATTAATTCCCACTTTTACTTATTTGTAGGGCGTGTTTTGACATGTTAGGTATGCATACATGGAGAATCCAACGTGTCAAGTATAATTATTTGACACGAAAAGGCACATTTCCCTAGGTGTATATGCTACACAAGTTCATGATATTCAAACAGAAAGAAAGATAACATTGACCTTAAGTTTCGACGAAATGATAACCAAATCTAAAACACTTACATGTCATAACTTATTTACATTGAAAGACCCCCATTATTTCTGATTTTAGAATTTCGAACTATGACAATTCAAAAATCTTTTTCCTTGTGATTAGAGAATACAAAGCTTTGTTCACTCGAACAAAGAGAAAATGACAAAAATATACATGCACATAATTCAGCAACAAGACTTAAAAGTTTCTCTATTTCGGAGGCTCTAGACCAGCAAATAAGATGTATTCTCAACTTCAAATGAATGACAAAAATTTCCATTATTTTCTACATTATCAAAAATTCCTCAACCTTACACGAAAAGCATGGAAAAATTGAAATTTAGACATCTAGGATGTTGTTGCCATCTTTTCCATTTTGCCAAGGAAGCAAAAATTATCATCTATCCAAATTTCAAATCTAGCGATCATGCGCGAAAGCCAAAGAACCAAAATCCAACATTAAAGTTCTGTCAAGGCTCAAGAAATGCAAACCATATAAATATATAGGTGAAAATAGAAGGAGAAAAATCACAGAGAAAACCTTAAACTATAGAGCAGCTGATCTTAGAATACAAATCAGTTGCTAACCAAGAGTTATTTAGCTCTTGGAAGAGATGGACCAAAAATACAGCAAGATCAGACTCTTTAAAGGGTCATAGTATTGATATGAGAACCATAAATTTTAAAGTATATACACACAAAGATATATATCCTCAGAATTTTCTTTTCCTCTCGTTTTTCAACGCCGATAGAAGATCATTCAAATTAAACCAAACCCTGGTTTAAAATCGACAAGAAAAATTTAAAATCTTAACTGGACACGAAAATCACAGGCATGCATGTTTATATGAGACTTTTAGGATGTATGAACAATTAAATTGAACAGATTTTTTATTCAATTAAAACAAATTTTGAATACCCGATACAACCTATATATATTTTCATAGAACAGCGAAAGATCAGAATGTGGGAGAGGGCGGAAGGAAGAATTGGGAATTTTATACCTCCAATTGGACGTTCCAGTAAGCGGCGAGAGCGGCGGCGAACTGAGAGATGGATACGACTTGCTAGTTAATGTGATGGGAAATGTAACGAAAAAAGTAAGGTGGCGTCCGTATATATAGCGAGTGAAAGTCGAGTTGGAGGCTTGGAGCTGGTAAAATTCAAAGAAAGTGCCATGTGTAATGGTAAATAAAAAATTTTTTTGCATATAAAATAGTTAGGAGAATAATGTGAATAGGAAGAAATTATTTATTTATTATTATTTTTTTAACTTGTGCAAGTTGAAAGAAATAATTTATTTTAAAGTGATTAAGCCCTTGTTTGGTAAGGTTTAAAATCATATTTTTAATAAAATTTGATAAAAGTTACGAAATGTGTGATTGAAAAATTGCGAGTTCCATAAAATGTGTGATTAAAATGAGTTGTTGATTTTGACTTCAAATATAATTTCAATTATAATTCTAACAAACAGGGTTAAAATGTAATTTTGGGATTGGGAGAGCGAAAACTATCTTTTGTAATACTTGCGTTTGTTGCTAACTATGACTCCGAACTTAAAACAATTTGAAGTCAAAACTACCTTTTTTGCATGGTGATCGTGATGATTTTTTATTTTTTATTTTTATGAATCAACCTAAAAGTTTTGAAAGTAAAAATAAATTTGATTACGTGCCTTTTTTTTTTTTTAAAGAAAAAAATTTATGGGTTAAAACAATATTCATGTCGGTAGTATAAGAAGTTTGATTTTTATATGCTTTTTATTGATTTTAAGAGGAGAGAATTTGATCGTTAAGCATCGGAGCACTTATGATTAGCCCCTGTTTGACATCCATTCTCCTCTCATTCTCTTTCTCATTTTTTTTCTTCATTTCAACCACATATTCTATCAATAAAATAATATTACACATAAACCCAAAAATTCTTCTTACTTTTTAACCACACATTCTACCCATCAATCACTATTTCAAAATTTATTCTTCTCCAAAATGGATGTCAAACACAGGAGAAAATTGTATTTTCCTTGTAGTTTTATGCAATATTAGTGCAATCTCGTTAGAAGTTCCCATTGAAATTTTGTTGTCGGTGAGCTGGTCATCACGACTTTCTCCATCAAAATATCTGACAGAAATTGTCTGTTGCTAAATCCAACCATCTTTTGGCGACAAAAATATTCGAGGTGTCTGGTTTTTTAAAATAAATTTTAGTAAGTATTGGCAATAAACATTTAAAAAACGACGGTACACCCATGCTTTTTTGAGCTATATATGTTTCTGATCATGTGTCTCTATATCAGTAATATAAGTTGTCATGTCACATAGTGGCTTAGTTGCATGATACATTGAAGTTTCATAGACCAACTAAAATTTGGATAAAGGTTCGATAGAACTCCGTTTCCACGTAAAATAAGTTGAAACGCCATTCGCAAGATTTAGTACTAAATTTATCACTATAGTTTAAGAAGTCTAGTATCGATCTCAATAATGCGCTACTCAGCTACTAATTCCTCGTTGAATCTAATGAATCAAAAGACAAGCTCAGGTCTCGTCAATTTTGACCATGAGGTTTGAAGAACGAACGAAGAATTTACACTTCCGTTTGGCTCTCATTAAATTATAATTCATTTGTCTCTCTTTTCTTATCAATCACACATTTTTTAATAAAATAATATTGCATGTAAACCTAAAAACTTTTACTTCTTTTTTAACCACACATTCTTTAAAAAATTACTATTTCTCTCATTATAACATGGAATAATAGGGTCAGGAATGATTTCACCCCGTGGGCTTGAGAGACTCAGAAAACAAAGATTGGGAGTCGGGGACAGCACTTATCTTGTGTTGGCTTATCCAATAAACAAGCCTTGCTATGAGAAATTTATCCCTATTCAACAAATATTTTGTTTTAGCCTTGCTTACTCGACTTAAAGAACTGGGATAAAAGGGAGATTATCCTAGAAGCTTTCTTGGATTGAGAAGGAGCTGCCTGTGTGGGTGGCCAGAACTCCTACCCACCTTCTTTTATACATTCTCCCCCAAATCTATTCACGACTGGGACTAGCCATGCCATCCGGACTGAAGCACTTACTTTGGCCCCAGGCTCACGCAGGAAAAATTCATAGTGGTTTTGATAGCCCGGGAGACTTGAAAAATATCACGTATATAGAGCAAGAATCATATGGTTGACAACTGAGAATATCAGATAAAATTATGTACAAAAGAATGAAGGTTTACAAAAGATGTTTATTTTTTTTTAAAAAAAAGTGGGGAATTCCTAGAGTTGAAAACATATTTGGAATTTTTCATAGGTTGTTCAGTGCTACATAACAAATATACCCTTTTTAAGTAGTAGGATGAGCAGGGGAAGGCGAACTTCTGCAAACTGGACACGTACCGTTCATCCTCAACCATTCATCAATGCACTCAGAGTGGAAACAGTGTTCACACTGAGGTATGCACCTAAGTGTATCCTTGGGATTGTAATCCACAAGGCATATTGGGCAAGTGACACCATTATGCCCTGGGAGGCGTCGACTTTCGCCGATAACTACTTTTGTGTAGGATTCAATGGTAGAGTCATCAAGGCCTGCTACCACTGCAGCAGATTGTGGTGTTACTGTGGCTGTAGCTATAGCTATGGCTGCATTTCGAGCTGCAGCATCGGCCCGACGTCGACGGTTCATCAGACACATGAAGCATGATATAAGAAATGAACATGTGATGGCTGGTATAACGATGGACAAGGCAATGATTTTGAAAATTTGCAGACTCCGGGAGTTAACTGAAAATTGAAGTCAGCACTAAATTAAAGCATTGATCATAAAAGCTATGCATAGCTTTCATGCACTATATCGAATAACCAATAGTTTGAACGTTCAAACGCTTGAAACATAGTGGGATTAGAAGTCGGGACTTTTGACAAGTTTTAACGTTCAAAGAGTCATAGCAAGATTTATAGTCGGGACTTTGGTTACTAATCCCAAACTCAAGATTAATGTGAATAAAGTTATGGCAAAAATGCACACGCAAACACCCTCAACGTTTCACTTGTCGCTGCATGTATTCACTAAAACTAGAGAATAAGAAGTTTATAATCGAGATCGCAAAATCTCTCAATTTTGTATGTAACCGTGATAAAAAAAAGGCTCTCCTATCCTTTATCTAATAAAAATATTATGGTAGTATGATGCTATATTGAATGATCATATCATCTAAAAGTTTAAGTTATTAAAGAAATCTTCTTGTATAAATAATCGAATATTGTCTTACGCCTCAAAACTATCAATAGTATAATATTATCTTCATCTGAGTCAACTGCAATTCTATATAAAAAATAATAATTCCATTATTATAAATCATGCTTGCATCATTCATAGTTCATACATTGACCTTCATAGTTGTCCCTACTTAGAATGTCTTGACCCAAGCAAAAAAGTCAGAATGTCCTTTAAGCATATTGAACTCAAAACTTTATTTTATAAGCTCTTTACCTTATGAGCAAGTTTATCAACTAGTAAATAAGTTTTAAGATAATATATTTATCGATCAAATTTGGGAATAAGTTACTTATTTTGTTACTTCCGAACTTTTTAACTTAAAAGTAAGAAGAAAAGTAATATATCCAAACATTTTTGCGGACTAAAAGATATTTAAAAGAAACTTTTAAATTTTTTAAAGCAGAAATCATGAAATTTGATGAGAACAAGAATTGATTACCTGTTCCAGGATCCCAAAAACATTGAATTTCCTTCTTCCTGCTGCTGCTGTTCTCAAATCCACAAATACCACGTTTTACTTCACAATCTATACAATCAGGAACATTCCATGTTAATTTAAGATCACCATTGAGGTCAGATGAAAATCCCTGGTTCTGAAATGCCAATGAAACTGGGATTGGCAAAGTAACAATTATACTGCACATGTTCATAGCCTTGGCAAGATTCATTGAAGAAGTTGCCAACACAGATATTGTAGAATTGCTAAGGCAGTTAATGGTAGTGATCTGGGATCTTGTATAATCTGAAGGACAGCTAAGGAAAGTATAGTTCCGATAATAATCTGCCATAAAAGGGGACGACGAAAGGTTCAAGTCCATAAGCCGCCTCGGGAGGCAATCATTTGCATCATAGAGCTGGATTTCTTGCTTGAGGTAGTCTATATCCCGGACAAGAAAATCTCCGGAATAAGGAATGTTGAGTACAGCTTTGTTTCTCCGGTAACTGCAATCCAGGACAAAACCGGGATAGCTACAGTTTTGGAGTCTTTTGCCTTGTAATTGGAAAGGAAATCTCACTCCAAAGGAATTGCTGCCACAGAAGTGAGTTTGGCACTGATTTCTTGCATTTATAACCAGAAACTGCAGGAATACAGAGAAGATGAGTTTCAGAATTCCCATAGGTACAAAAGTTAGAAATAGTTTAGCAAAGAATGAGGTAAGGTTCATCTAAATACTGCCCAAAGTCAGAGGTTTATGCAAGATTATGCTGTTGACCTACAAAATATCCATTATTCAACAAGAATATAGAATTGGTATTCTATTCCCAATTGGCAGTAATTTATTTATTGAAAGTATTTTGAAGGCTGGATAAAGACATCTATAGTCAATCCAATTGTTGTTTACAATATATGTTCGGTTCAATTTGCCTAAAGGAAGGTGGAAATTTGCAATGAGCTCAACTTCTGAATTAGCGCATGTTTTAAAATTAGTAAAATTTACTTTTATATAAATTTTGCTGACAGAACCTATAGTTTCATGTATGGAGGAATGGCAATGGGACAAGTTCGGAGCGGGCGGGCACCATTCCTTGCCCTCACCCTGTGCCACGTTTCAGACGCAGCAGGGCAAGGGACTCGTTTCCCCCCATTTAATATTATATATATTTTGTCTTTACATTTAATTTTTTTTAAATAATACTAAATGGGACAAGGTGGGGCAGCAGATACCCGTCCCCGTCCCGTCCCATTCTGCCTCACGCCCTCACCCCGTATGGGTTGGAATTCGTAGATATCAAATTAATCGAATTTTTTATCATCCCTATGCACGCATGGAATTGATTAAAAGCAAGGTGTGACAGTGGTGCTATTAGCTGATGTAGGGGAAGATTATAGGAAAGACAAAAATCCACACAAAAAGAATTTCAATCAAGAGAAATTCAAAAAAAAAATTATTTCATTCAAAACTGAGCTGTCTCAAAGGGCTTACAACGTTTAAATAACGAAACCTTAAGAAAATTCGAAAAAAAAAATTACCTAATAATAAAAAATATTATTTTTTTTCAAAAATGAAAAAAATTGAGATAATGACGGATCTTGATTCTCCTAATCATCAAGATCATCCCCCAATAAACGGAAATCAAATCCGAATTTATTTGACTAAGATGTTGCCAAAACAAAAATTACCATAAACGGCAAAAACGTTTAATTGAGGGCTTAAACGATGGAATTTGCCAAAATTTGACGTGCATCAGGGCCAAAGGCCTTGGGTTGTGATCATTGGTCCGTTTCCAATCGAATTAGACTAGCAATTCGTCAAAAACGAACAAACTCGAAATTAAATGAAATTATTATGTTATCTTCATCATTAGCCAATCGTTTTAAAGCTTATGAGTCAAAAAATAATAGATTTGTTACAGGTGAATAAAGTAGCCCTCAAGTTCATTTGATTAGGAGATTCAACTACAAGAATATAGAGTGTTATTTGTTTTATTTGGGAAGACGCTTTGAACTGATAAAAAGTATTCACTAGAGTTTGTCGTTGGTGAGTAAATTTGCTTATGATTGCATCAAATATTGTTTGGTACGATAAATCGGATGAGGACAGTACACGATTGAAGGGCAAATACCCTCAGAATTTGAATGATGAAGATGGGATTATGACGCCACCAACCCATTAAGGCGTTTACGAGGTTGGATTCAATTTTAAGTACTTTATTTAAGTAATTATGTTATTTTATTTAATTAGAGTTTTTTTTCTAATTCTGTTAGGACTTTAGAAATTTAGGGTGCAATTTTTACTTGAGAGTTGCACACTTGCACTAGGCCTTAATCCTTATTAATTGGGGGGAAGGTTTATAACTTGTGATTTTTCTCAACATTTTTTTTCAAGAAAAATAAAATGATTTATTGGTTTTGTGTTTATGTCTTTAATGTTCAATGAAGATTTTGTGTTTATTTCTTCGTGCTTGTACGCTGCATCAAAAAGTTATGATCTCGTTGTCATTTTTTATCTTTAATGTTCAAAGAATCATGCGTTCTAGGAAAAAACTTAACCAACTCCGCTCTTGTCAAGTATACATCGACAAACTCGACCATTGGGTAGAATTGAAAATGTGGCTTTACCAAAATGATAACGCAAAAGCGAAGAAAATTGTTTGGCGAAGCAAGTTTGATGATTTAATATTTCAAGACATCTTTTAAACAAAAATAAATAAATAAAAACACTAGACAATTGGAGAATTCTAAACAAATATGTAAATTATGTGATAAAAATGAAAAAGATTAAAGTTAAGGGACCAACATGAAACAAACTTGTAAGTGGTATAAACTTCCCTGAAAGTACAGAAAGCATATCCAAATCATTTAACATAACGGAACCCTATTTCTGTATGGCAATTTGACAAACAGAACAGATAAATCAGAATCCAATTATTAACAGTTGATAGCTGCTTCGGAGGAGAATAAATCAATCAATCAATCAAATAATCTAATGAAGAATAGCGGGAGCAGGAACAGTATGGTTGATAAGGGTCGGACCTTACCGGTGGATCCCAATCTCCCGCGATTTCTGTGCCAGAACTGTCGTCAGAGCCTATGTATCGTCGACATCGATTCTTACGCCGACAAATTCTTCGCCTCCGGTTAGAATTCTCCATCCTTGTTGGTATTTGCCAATTTCATTATTTTATTCATGTGAGCTGTAATATTCAATTTACGATCATCAGCGTCAAAGTAAATGAAGCGAAGTTCCTTTTTTGAAGTACGAGAAGGTTAAAGAAGTAATACATTACGTTTAGTACAGCGGAGAGCCAAGACTCTATATTTACACCAATGAAACTGTAATTAATTATAATGGTTTTAGGAGCATCTTTATTAACTTATGAAACTGTAATTAGTTATACTGGTTTACAGCACTTCTGTGAAATGCCTCTATGTTTAGGTTGTGAAGTACACGATTTTGCAAGTGAAATTTTCTAGTTTTTTTTCTTCTTTTTTTCCCCCTGATTTTGTTAATGCTGTAGTCTGACCCTACTTCAATTGATTCCATCTTGAGCTTTGATAACTGCATTAGGTTATCTTGACTTAGTTTTATAGTTCTCTGGTGTATATCTTCTCCGTCGTATTGGAATAAAAGGTATTTTTTGTGAAAATGGGGAAGCAAGTATCTGTGTGATCAATGAGATTCGTCTTAGACTTCAATCTACACTGGAATTATCTTCCACACCACCTTGGCCAACTCCCACCTGTGTGAAATCCTTGAAGGATGTTGTGTCGAGTGGGTTTTTGGGGATTTGGGCTTTAATTGGTAATATAGGACATTTGCGAGGAACCCTGAAAAGATTGCTAAGTTACTGACAGACTGGTGAAGAAGGGACAATTCAAATAAAATGAAGCTAGGAAGAGATTTCAAAATATGACCATAACTCCTGCATGGCCCCACCTGACTTTCAAAGGCCTTCGCCTTGGAGACTGATGCCTGTGACAGAGGGATAGGTGCAGCTCTGATACAGCAGGCATTATCCAATTATGTACTTTTATCGAAGTATTCATACTCTCGTTGCCTTACCCTGGATTCGAGATCCCCCTGTCTAACAGCTAACAGTGCATCTGAATATCATTGTAGAAAGAACTAGCTTTTCAGATTTATTTCCTTGTGGATCCTGGAACGAAATGAGAATTTTCAATAGGCATTTATTTGTACTCAAGTTCAAATAATTGGTGCGGGGCAGGGGAGTATAAGCCATAGCAGTGGCGGAAGCAGGACTCGTATTCCAATAGAACGACTGAAATTCTTTTCAAACACAAAACATAATATTATTTAAAACAAAAACAAAATTGTTTTAAATTTTTTTTTCTCAACCTTCAGTGGGGGACAGGGACCTCACTGGCCCCCACCTGTCTCCACCTCTGAGCCATAGAAAGAAAGTGTAGCTCCTTTCTGTTTTAGGCTTTCATAATTGGATAAGTTTAAAGATTGTTAAGATTGAACCATCTTTCTTCAACTGAGTTCCAGCTTTCTTACAATTAGAAACAGCCCAGGCTCACTCCTTTCCAGTTTCATAGGAGTATATGCTTGCTGGCAATAAGAATCTGATTGATGCCTAAAGGAAAGTACCAACAAAATTTGCGATTCGGCATTCAAAAAGTAATTTGGTAGAGACGCGGCTCTACTTAAAAGAAAAAGAAATTAAATTTTACTTTATTCATTTTGTTTATTCCTTTAAGCAGATCTTTAACTTGGATACTTGGGATGAATTTTGCTAATCTATGCTTTAGTATATATGGAATTACAGTTTACTTTATTTTCCCTTAAGTGGGCTAGAAGAGGAGAAGTTGATGCATTAGTGCAAAGTCAACTTCAAATGGAATATATTAGATACTTTGGATACCAACATGTTGCTTAGGTAATGCAATGATACATTCATGTGAATGATTTGGAATAAAATGTGCAGGGATGCAAGGTTCTTCAACTCATGGGACTGGTAGCATTTTAGGTTCGACACGTGCGGACCATTCATTTGTCATGTTGACAAAGGAAAGGAATCAGGTAGCAGGGGTCTCTCCTCGTCCAAGAGGTGGAGTAATGCAGCCTGATTCTACTCAGTCTGGGAAAGCAATAGAAGAGTCATTTGTGGTGTTACCTCCACCAGCTGCTTCAGTGTACAAATGTGAGTTTGGAGCTGATGGAGGGGGTTCCAATTTGCCATCACCTGAGGGCGGCTCAACTAATGCTCCTTCACAACCACATAATTCGGGCCTTCACTCAACAATAACTGTCCTGAAGCATGCATTTGAGATTGCCACAACACAAACACAGGTATGAAAAAGTTATCCAATTCATGGGTTATCAGCAAGAAAACTTCAATGTATAATTGAGTAATCTGTCCCCATTCATCTGAAATAAACCATGCAATTTGATGCATCAATCATGTTTTAATGGTCTTTTTCTGCCTTGCCTTTTCTCATTTTACTATTCAGGTTGAGCAGCCTTTGTGTCTTGAGTGCATGCGGGTGTTATCTGATAAACTTGATAAGGAGGTTGAAGACATGAACAGGGACATAGAAGCCTATGAAGCCTGTCTTCAACGATTGGAAGGAGAAACAAGAAATGTTCTTAGCGAGGCTGACTTTCTTAAGGAGAAGTTAAAGGTGCTTGTTTCTCAAGCTCTGATGAAAATGCACATTTTGTATTTTTATCGCCAAATACATCAATGTGTTTGCTTCTTCCTCTCTCCTCTTCCCAACTCCCCACCCACCAGCTGAAATATTTTCTGGATCATCATCGTCGTCATCATATTTTTGCGGGCTATACAAACCAGATTTTTGGTGTAGAAATCTGTTTGAAATATTTTCTGGATCATCATCGTTGCCATCATATTTTTGCGGGCTATACAAACCAGATTTTTGATGTAGAAATCTGTTTGACATAGATTTGGCAATAAGAGCAAGACATCATCCAATATTGGGAGGCAGCCCATTTAGTTTTCCTCTCTATTTTGCTTAGAATTGAAAAGTTCTGGTAATTGTGGAAGGTAAATGGGAATTTCCACTTTGACTCGATGATGACTTGAGATTTTAGGGCTCAACTTTTTATGTATTGTATCTAGATATGCTACCATAGAAGAAAAGGCTATGTTTGTAAGATCACTTATTGTTAAGGTGTTTTATAAATGTATTACTGCCAATTGTAATATTTTGCTGAATATGTATACTTGGAGTTTAAATCTTTACTTCGTAATAAATGGATACACTTGTCTGCTTATCTACTCCTTGATGCGTGAACTCTATGTGATTTAGATAGAAGAAGAAGAAAGGAAACTTGAAGCAGCTATTGCAGAAACAGAGAAGCAACGTGCAGGAGTCACTGCTGAACTGAAGGAACTGGAGTTAAAATCTAATCGCTTTAAAGAATTGGAAGAGCGGTAAGCCTCAGACTAGCTTCACATGTTAATAGAGATTTGTGTGAGGAACTGTTTGTATAGCAGTATTATACAGTGATTTTTAAGTATTTGTAAGATTTTTTCTTTTAGTTTTCAGCTTTTTTCCCCTCAATTTGTTTTTTTTGCTCGGATGAACCTTAAAATTTTTGGTTTAATAGTTCATTACATCTGTTATCTTTACCAGGTATTGGCAGGAGTTCAATAACTTTCAGTTTCAATTGATCTCACATCAGGTCTGGTTCTGCTATTATATCGTGGACATATTCCTTCCCCTACTCCTTCCCTTCCACAGGGTACCTGCATCTCTAACTTATCATCGCTGGAAAGATGTAAATTCGGGGAAGGGGGATTCCAACTGTCTATACCTTAGATCCAAAATATTGTAGATGTTCTCTTGATGAAAGCTATTGTAAATTTTACGATTCAAATATTTGGTCAACAGGAGGAGACAGATGCAATTTGGGCCAAGATAGAAGTTTCACAAGCTCATTTGGAGTTGTTGAAACATACGAATGTGCTCAATGATGCCTTCCCTATCTGGAATGATGGAGACTTTGGAACAATTAACAACTTCCGCCTGGGAAGACTTCCTAAAATTCCGGTATGCAAAAGTAAATGTGCATTTTATTGATTCCTTCAATGTGCCGACATAATGTCTTCTTTATCTGTCGCACATACCTAATTATAGACAGATTGAAATGTCTTGTAAAATGAATATTTCCTTCTGGAATCTATATAATCAAAGCTTATTTCACATCCTGCTCTCTTTAAACAAAACACAGTTTCAAGGAGGTCGAAGAACTTCGCTGCATTTATGTTATTGCACATTTATCAAGAACTGATTTTAATTGAGATCCTCACTTTTTTTTGCTTATTCTTAGGTTGAATGGGATGAGATAAATGCTGCATGGGGCCAAGCTTGCCTTCTGCTCCATACGATGTCTCAATATTTCAGGCCAAAGTTTCAGTATCCTTTTGGCTTTTACAAATTTCACTTCGAAAGTAAATAATAATAATAATAATAATAATAATAATAATAATAATAATACACACATACACACACATATAAAGTTTAAAAAGTCCTTATAAATTTCACGTCTCTTACTCTCAGGATTTATGTTATGTCTGCTGTTTTGATTATTGTTAGTTTCCTGAGGCAAAAATGTTTAACCTGCTTAGAATCTCTCTATTTATATAATTTCTTCATATTGTTGATGGTTTGTGTTCCTGGACTCATGCTAAGGATTTCGTGATAATTTGGACTTTTAAGAGTGGTTAATAATACAACAACTTAATTATACAATTAAGTTTATGATACAGAGAATAAAAACTCTGGAACATCAATCGCAGTCAGAAACCAGCATAAAATATATATTTACCATTGAAGAAACTAGTACCATCATTTTTAAGCCGTAGTGGTAAAGTCTGGTAAGTCATTTTTAGTCCCGAGATCTGATCTTAAATATTTGCTGCCATTTGAAATTTTCTCTTTCACCTTGTCAGATTGATGTAATATTCACTTAAGTGTTCACACTTCAATTTTTTATGTCACTTTGACGGTATTCAGTACAAATACATTTCCTTGCACCCACAAGTTGACATTACTGGAACTTGAAGAATGCTTTTTTTCTTTTTCTTTTTCTGCTCATTCCTTTGGTTTCTTATTATATTTTATTTCCAATATTGATGCAGTGATGGTGTGGGATTTGTATCTCGTTGCCAGGAATGGACATGTAGAATCCTGAAATTCTTGCAAATGATCCATGTTTATGTATTTGTGAATTGTTGTGCCCTTAATGTGCTTTTTTCTAGATATCAAATAAAAATTATTCCTATGGGAAGTTATCCTCGCATAATGGATAGCAGCAGCAATACTTATGAACTGTAAGTTGAATTTCGAATTTCAGTAGGGATATCTGATTTTAGAATTACAGATGAACTGAACAGAGCTTGTCTGAACTTCCATCATTGCACCATTATGTGAGTTTGTTTTGTACATATTTTTTTTCTGTGGTCTTTGGGGGTTAATTCTTAAATAAGGATTTGCTGCTTTGGGTACTGATTTCCAAAAGTTCAGTCTATATCCAATCTCTCTCTTTCAGGGGAAGAAAAATTCAGTCTTAACTGTAATTCTTATTAATTTTCAAAGTTGTATACAATCTGTAAGTCTAATAATCTATCTAATCGACTAATCCAATCAAATACTCCCTCTGTCCCAATTATATATGCTGGGTTTCCTTTTTCTCTTCCCAACTATGTAGGCATGTTACTTAATGTAGAATATTTCGTTGTATTCCTTTACCAATATATCCTTATTAAATTTTCCCCACTTAATATGCCCATTTCATGAAATCATTCAAATACACACATTTCTCACTTTTTTGTTTTGTACATATTTTTTTTCTATGGTCTTTGGGGGTTAATTCTTAAATAAGGATTTGCTGCTTTGGGTACTGATTTCCAAAAGTTCAGTCTATATCCAATCTCTCTCTTTCAGGGGAAGAAAAATTCAGTCTAACCTTAATTCTTATTAATTTTCAAAGTTGTATACAATCTGTAAGTCTAATAATCTATCTAATCGACTAATCCAATCAAATACTCCCTCTATCCCAATTATATATGCTGGGTTTCCTTTTTCTCTTCCCAAATATATAGGCATGTTACTTAATGTAGAATATTTCGTTGTATTCCTTTACCAATATATCCTTATTAAATTTTCCCCACTTAATATGTCAATTTCTTGAAATCATCCAAATACACACATTTCTCACTTCTTGGAAACATGGAACAACTCTCATTTCCTCTTCTTCAAATTCTTTATTAATTCCAGCAATAATTTAGTATTACATACTGAAAATTAAATAGGGGTAAACTAAAAAAGATCTTAGCAAAAATTAATTTTCCAATAATATTAAAGAAGTTTTCTTAATCCGTATGAAAAACGAAACAAGTATATATAATTGGGATAGAGGGAGTATAATATAATCACATCAGATCTAATATAGCCCCTGTTTGGGCTTCATTTTAATTTTAATGTTTTTTTCAACCACACATTCTTTAATAAAATAATATTACATGTAAATCTAAAATTTTTCCTTATTTTTCAATCACACATTCTCCAAAAAATTAGTATTTCAAAATACATTTTTCCCTAAAAACTAAGCTCCTGTTTGGGTCCATTTTAATTTTAATGCCTTTTTTCTCTTTGTTCTTATCGACCACACATTTCTCAATGAAAGAATATTACACAAACCTAAAATTTTTCCTTCTTTCTTAACTGCACATTCTCCAAAAAATCGCTATTCCAAAATATATTAAGCCGGCATAATCTTAGCTACTTTTTATTTTCCTAAAATATGTTTTTAATTTTCATCAGTTGTACTCTGGCTGCTTGGAGTTATTGCACAAACTTGACCTCCCTTCAATATCTTGTTGGCTGTACAAATTCTTCTTTTTCTTTTCACTTATTGCTCCACATCCATCCATTTTATGGATTTCTTGCTTTTGTAATATAATTGATCATCTGTAATCTTTGTATTTGAATAATGTATTTGCTTGAAATTGTGCACTTTGTCATCTTCTGGTCATTCTAGTCAGCTAATGTGAGTTTTCTCAGCTTTGGTCCCGTCAATCTGTTTTGGAGTACTCGCTACGACAGAGCGATGACATTGTTCTTGAGCTGCCTGAAGGAATTTGCTGAGTTTGCAAAGGCAAAGGATGTAGAAAACAACATTTCTCCTGAGAAATGTTTTAAGCTTCCATACAAGTAAGTGATTGTGTGCGTCTTATTTCATGCAATGATTTGGTGGAGATACAATTGTCAAATTTTAAGCTTCCATACAAGTAAGTTATTGCGTGCGTCTTATTTCTTGAATGATTTGGTCGAGATACAATTGTTTAATGAACTTTTATAATTCTATGTTGTAGCAGTTATAAGTGTCTTTAAATATGTTTTACTGTTATGCTAAGTTTCTCTCCCCCCCAGAATTTTTTTTTTTTCACGTGTCTGACTTTTCTGGATAATGTGACCTTTTTTGAAGTATAAACTATAAATTGATCTTTAATTTACTTGGTGTTAAGAAATATTTGGAAACTGGGAAATTTTTAACTGAAAAACTATTGTTTGGAAGTTGGTGATTAGAAATTACTGAATAAAACAAAATAAAATATGGTTCTGCAAGAAAGTTAAATTGACCAAGAGTGCTTAACAGAACAAATAATGCGACTATTTAAATATCATAAATGATGTACGACGGTACTTTGCATTGTTCTATGTTGTTTTGGTGTTTTTGTCCATTACTTGACTTGAGAAGTCAATATGAACCACCTAGGGCAATGGAATTGGAGAATCCCACTATTCTTTTCTACTAAAATCATTCGAGGCTTGAATTTGCGGAAGGACACCACTGGCCTCTTGAAGTCTAAATGTGTGAAAGAAGTTGCAGTTGTGTTATGTATTCCGTTGAATTTCTTTGGATTGTTTTCAATGTCCGTTATGTCCTAAAATTTGGTTCGGCTAGCTTATCGCAGAGTACAAGAATATAATGTGTTTGGTACGGTATATTGGACAATACTAGAAAATTAGAAGAAGCTGAAATTTTGTCAATAATACTATATAGTATTGCGTACCAAATATGTCCTTATGGTAATTTCGGTATATATTGCATTATAATAATCACCGTTAGCTTCTGACATTATTACACGTATTTGCAGGATTGAAAATGACAAGGTCGAAAATTTCTCTATTACACAAAGCTTCAATAAACAGGAGAATTGGACCAAAGCTCTCAAGTACACGCTCTGCAATTTGAAATGGGCTCTCT